GGAGGAAAGCAAATATGTAAGTGTACATATATTAATAAGGGAGCCAGTGTCCTGGGTTCAGCAGTAGCAGTGATTTTCCTCCTTCTTGGTAGCTGGAGCAGTGTTTTGACTTTCGGCCTGGGAACAGAGCTGATAACAAGGATGTTTTCAAGACCAGGTTGGACGAGGCCTTGGGTGATATGATTTAGCATAAGGTGTCTCTGCCCACGGCAGGGGGGTTGGAACTAGATGATCTTAAGGTCCTTTCCAACCCTAACGATTCTATGATTCTATGTTTTGGTTTAGCCAAGGACTTTGTGAGCCTCATGCTCTGCCAGGGAGGAGGGGAAGCCAGGAGGAAGCAGAGACAGGATACCTGACCCAAACTGACCAAAGAAGTATTCCATACCACAGCATGTCATGCCCAGGATGTAACCGAGTGTTACCCAGAAGGGCTGGGAGTCTGCAGGGTTGGAGGAGATATCAGTCGGTGCTTGGTCGGGCTGGGGGGGCGAGTTATTGGTCGGCTGGTGATGAGGTGTTGTATTCTCTTCCCTTGTTATTTCCTTTATCATTGTTATTATTGGTGGTAGCAGTAGTGATCTGTGTTATACCTTAGTTACTAAACTGTTCTTATCTCAACCTGCGGGAGTTGCGTTCTTTTCGATTCTCCTCTCTGTCCCTCTGGGAGTAGGGGGAGGGAAAGAAGGGGGGGAGTGAGTGAACGAGCTGTCTGGCTGGGTTTAAACCACGACAGCTAGCATGTGGCAGATTTAAAGACAACACAGAATATGGTTACTCACACCAAACAGAATCATGCCTGTGGAATTCCATACCACAAGACACAGATTTCTGGTACCCATAGTGTGGGTTTAATAGAGACTGGACAGAGGGTTTCCAGTTAGAAAATGCTTAAACTTATGAAATTCCTGAATGAGAAATAGCTCAAATTTGGAAGAGGAGTTGGGGAAAATATTACATGTGCCTGCCCTATTCTTGTACTCTTTCACTGCAATAGAGACATTACCGATACATCCATCCACAAAATGCATGTTCCATTAAAAGTCTCAGAACACTTTATTGCAAGGGGCCAGCCACAGCTTATGTGCCACAGGAAACCTGTCGTAAGGTCTACAGTACCTAAGCAATCTAAGAGCTGACACTGCAAAATAATTTTAGCTGTTCTGTCAAATTCTACAGAGAAAGGCAAACATTAGAACAGTCCTTGCAATTGGCAATGGGCACTTTTTCATTATCCCAAGCCTACCAGTTTAAAAATGGAAAACCTAAAGACAAGCAAAACACACTTTATCCTGGTACTCAGAAAAACATCCCCCCCCCCCCCCCAACATTCAAAGAAGGAGAAAAAAAATAATTACACAACTAGAAGCAATACCCAAAAAGGCTTAAATCTTGTCCCATACACAAATACCATATTCCAGTAATCTGGGATGATATGGATAAACAAATGAAATGAGTTACTTATGCTCATTGCCTGAAGCTCCTTCAGTTCAACTTTTCCCAGTTTTCTGCCTCTTACATTAAATTGAAGTTACCCTGTTTTGATCTTTAATGGTGTCTTCACATAACTCTAATCAATTCCTAATCCTCATTCTCCCTGAATTACTACCCCTTCCCAACAATCAGCATTGTGTCTCCTCCTGTTCATTTGTATGTGTCATCTTCTGTGTCTTTTCTCTCTCTGCTGGCACCTTCAAACATATAATCACATCATATGAAAAAAAACAACCAAATGCCCTAGTCCACAACACAATTATCTAAGGATTCCACAAGGCTGCATTTTCTTCTGGCTCCATGCACTCTCTCAGAAATCTCACCAGTAAATGTCAACTTTGCTTTTATGCTTACACACTATCATCCATTTGCCATTCTGGACTATCTCCCTCCCACCAAACCCAAGCCTCAGCATCTAAATCTCTGGGACTTCTAACAGCCAACTCAAGGTCAGTCCTTACATCCCTCTCCCATCCAGAAGCTCTCCCTTAATTAGCAGGTTTGTTGCTATCCACCCCACAGCCATTTAGATTCCTAACCCAAACAAGACCTAAACTAATTTTTCCCTAAATTTTCCCACCCACAGTTTGGATAAGTCTCATAATTTTGTTCTGCAAAACAACTAATGGCCTCAGGTTGAATTTAACCGTCTTGCATTTTTATTAGTTCAACATCATTCTCTCTGGCCTAGAACACAACAAAACAAACACACCTGCACAGACTTATCCTGAGCACATCTATACAGAATGCTTCTTCCAAAGGACACTTAACTTGCCAGTTGAACAAAGCCACAGAGGAAAGAGGACGTCTAAGTATTTCAGACATTTATCTCTCTGTATTATAGGGGATAAATATTTTTCTCCAGCAGAGAACAGCAAACAATATCTTTTTTAAGAGATTGCTCAGTGAAGGAAATATCTCTTCATCCCTTCCCAGGCTGACGAGAGAGGGAAAACAATCTTCAGTTTCTGATGCTACATATTCATCAATTCCACTCCAACTAACCAAGCTACCTACTTAGTTTTCCTTTCAGAACATGTTCTAATCCTGCTCTGTCACTGGCTCAACCAAGGTGCTGACTTCCAACTGCTAACTGGTCAGCAGCAGTAGGGTCTACCACATACTGGCTAGGCTTCCAAGGAAGCACCTACTCACCTTTTCCTACATTAGGAAAAGCTTTGTTCAACACTGTGCTTTACCATGACACATACAAAAAAAGTTGACATCAGTTACCCTAAATATGCACCAGAATTACTTACACTGATCAATATGGTCTCATTTCTTTGTACTTGTCCTGGGTTCAGCAGTAGCAGTCATTTTTCTCCTCCTTAGTAGCTGGTGCAGTGCTGTGGTTTTGGCTTTCAGCCTGGGAACAACGCTGATAACCCCGATGTTTTCAGTTGTTGCTCAGTAATGTTTAGTCTGACCAGGACTTTCTGAGTCTCATGCTCTGCCAGGGAGGAGGGGAAACCGGGAGGAAGCAGAGACAGGACACATGTCCCAAACTAGCCAAAGACGTATTCCACACCACAGCATGTCATGCCCAGGATGTAGAACTGGGGGCAGTTACCCAGAAGGGCTAGACTGCTGCTCAGTCCGGGCTGGGTATCAGTCAGCAGGTGGTGAACAGTTGTATTCTCTTCCCTTGTTATTTCCCTTATCATTATTATTGGTGGTATCAGTATTGGTTTTGTGTTATACCTTAGTTACTGGACTGCTCTTATTTCAACACATGGGAGTTACATTCTTTCGATTCTCCTCCCCATCCCTCTGGGAGTGGGGGGAGGAAGGGGGGGAGGGAGGTAGCGGCTGCATGGTTCTGGGTTGCCGGCTGGGCTTAAACCACGACAGCACTCCATCAGTTTTCTCACATTACATTTCTAACTGGAGCCAATTCAAACAGATGTATTTGCTTGATCCTACACACAAACAATACTACTAATAAACAAAAAATGTAGACAGCTCTCAAGCAACAAGGCAGCTGCTAGTCAAAAATGTAGGCATTCCCCCCTCCTCCCCATTTCCTGCATTTTTTACAGTTCTAAACAAATAGCAGAAGGCTGTTGTAGCACTCGGGACTGCTTCAGAGACAAATAAGGAGGTTGGTTCTCTGTTACCAACGTAATTTCAGTCACTTTAAATTAAGTTAATATAAGAACTGTCACTGCATTCCCAGATAAAAATAGACTCCCTAACATACGACAAGATTTCCCCCATCCGGAAGTGGGTCTGTGGCTGGAAGTAGAGACTGAAAATATTATTGTGTTATTAAGTAAGATTTCTTTCAGAAGTAGATATTAATTGAAAGCAGTTAAGGTTGGGGTGGGGGAAGTCTGTTGCAACACTGCAACTTTCACAGCATCTCTCTTCTCCCAGCCACATACCTGGTTGTAAGGACACATTTTATCCATACTTTAACAGCCATATGGAATGGCGAATTGGACGGGAGGTGAAAACCTAATGGCAGTTACCCTGTATTTTCACAAGCAGTCTCCTTCCTGCTTCAACCCATCACATCAGAAACTATCCTGTATACTTGGAAACCCTAAACTACCATCATGGCTACATAAGCAAATAGCACGTTTAATGGTACAAGTAAGACATAACAGGTATGGTTTTAAAGCCAGAGGTTATGAAGGAAGACTAAGATGCGTGCAGTGTGCAGCACTTCCCTGTCCACTGAAGCTACGAAGGAAGTCTATCATAGCAAGTAATGTCCAGTGTTCACTGAAAACTGCTGGGTCCTTTTTAGGCTAGTAGCCTATTATCTGACTACTGGCAGCTAAACCTGCACTGTTAGCTGTAATTCTGAACTGCAGTTGCTTCGGAAACTTCCTTAATTTTCAACAGACTGTATGTAGGATCAATAAATACTGAAAACAGAGTAAATATATTAAGAGTCACTGTACAAGAAATTCCTGGCCTTCTCAATAAGATGAGAACTGCTTCTAGTTTCCAGAGAAACGAACTTCAGCTCCAAGGCCACTAATCCCAACACTCGAGAGTTCCTATAAGCATCATTTCCCAGCTCTAAACCAGAGATAATATACTAAGTCTGTAAAAAAGTTCTATTTAGTAACGCAACTGGATCCAAGTTGTGTATAAAACTGAAGTAAAAAGAAGTCAGCTCACTTCCTGAGCTGAAACTCAACCATTAATTTGTATTATCTGCTGACCAGACCAGAGTATATCTTTCCAATTTACATACAAACAATACTACTAAAATTCTAAATTTTGAGGTATCTTCATTGTTGTAGAACTTCTAAAAGTCTTGTATTCTGTACCGTTGGTGTAACACACATCTTTGTTAACATATCTGTGTTAACCCTCTAGAAAACATTCAAAACATGGAAACAACTGAACATGGCAGAGCACAAATACTGATTGTACCACCTCTTTAACCTCCACACAGGTATTTTTTCAGCTCCTAAATTAACTTTTGCATACAGAGGGAGACAGATACAGGAAATACTGAGGTTACAGTATGTGAACAGAATCTGACTCACCACAGTCCTTTGCTTATTGGGCAGGAAGACTCTAACAATAGGCTTCTGTGGAGACTTGGGGTTATTCCGTGACATATCAGCAGGGTTTTGATAAACTGAAAGGGATGAAGGTGCTACAGAGAGGCTAGAGGAGGAAGATGATGCAACTGTGTCTGTTGAAGCTGAACTGGAGACAGAGAAATCAGTTCCATTCCCCATGGATTCCAGTAACTGCTGTTCTCTCTGCTGTAGAGCGTCTAGTTTGCTGGTGTACTCTTCATAGGCCTGTGAAGGAAGAGCAGCTGCTTTAATGATGCAGTAGCCTCAGACAAAACCAGAAATGGAAATTCAGAATGAACATGCAACAAAACACATTCTAAACTAATTCAAAGTTCTCAGCAATATGAACAAAATTCTCTGGTGAACTTTTTCAGTAGGATACAAAGAAGAAATGGCTTTGCACTCTTTATGTTTAACCTGCTGAACCAACAAAGCATTATTTAATAGAAATAACAGGTAACTGGATAAAAGCCACCGTAAGACACAGTTTCAAAGCACTGGTACTAAACAGTCTAATCCAAAGCCATTTTAAGGACCACAGCAGCCTTTTACAAATGTTGTCAGCTGCACTGCCAAATTACTGTGCTATAGCTAAATGTATCATTCTGTTGGAATGACAGCTAATACATCTAATGTAGTAATTAAGTGAAAGCTGAAATCTGTATCTGAGCTCACCTAGTTCACTGTTCACCATTATTCACCTCTGGCACTCTCCTTTTCACACCAGGTAGTACAAAATTCTTTCAGTTACAGCACAGCTAAGTTTGCTCTTAATGTATGTTTGCCCTGTTACAAAGTCATCCATAAACATGTAACAGTGATTCTTTGAAAGAATGCAACACCTGTATGAGATTAATTTGATTTTCCACCAAGGTTTAAAAAAACTTGACTGCACACTAAGTTTGTTAAATAAACAAATATCCAGTAATATTAAATTCACCCACTAAGTTTTTATTAAATATCACCAAGCTATTGCCAAGCTCTACACTGCAAATATATAATCGGTATGTATTTTTGTTTAAATGTTGTTTCCACCAACTTTGTATTTATAACAAGAAAATTTTTATCTGTATGTAACTATCAGAATTATTTCTTCAGCATGACAGTCAGTAGAGAGTATCTTAGAAAGTCTGAGTCAGTTAAGGAATGTGTGTTTCATGCTACATAACTATGTCAGTATTAACTGAAGACATGTTAGACCTTTACAGACACGAGGAAACAAAGATCTTGCAAACCCAGCATCTAAGCAGTAGGGAACAGGATTTTCTACTTAGCTCTGCAGCACAACCAAGATCTATGCCAAGCTGCTTCATCTATTTTCAATGCCACAAAGGATATTTATGATAGAGAAACATAGTATTTATTTTAATTGGCTTTCCTCAAGTTTTCTGTGCATAACATGTTGTTAAAGTTATAGGCAACCTGAACTGACCAAAAAGTCTAAAGGGTCTACAAGTGAAAAAAGAAAATTATATATATATTATACACATATATATATAAAAATATAAAAGTTAAGCAGAAAAAAGTAACTAGCAATCAGTAATGCTGCCACAAATACTACATTATACTATAGATTTATTTCTCTGGTTGTACATGCAAGTTCACCTAACCCAGGCTGATTTTGTTGAGTAAACAATGGTTGGCCCCTGCCTTTTTATGAAGGTTTAGCATCCCCCAGGATGAACCTATGTTCAAAATCTGTGTCATTATCCCCACAGTGTTAACAAAGAGAATGGTTATTTGACAGTGAGGACTAAGAAAGAGCATTTCAAACCATTGTGGTGAACATAACAATTTCAAATTCTAAATTTTAAGGGTCCATTTTTAATGTATGGAGATTAGTTGCAGGAAACCGAGAACTTAGTGTTTCTATTTAAACTGAGGATGTCTAGCATTTCATGAACAGACTCCAAATTTGGAGGCTTTAAACCAAACCATATTCACTGCAGCCCAATTCTACGGTCAGAAGTAAATTGAAAGGTTACCCGATTATAAATAATGACATTTTTTGGGTGTACAGTAACGTAAGTATCTCTCTCCTACTTTCAGGATCAACTTCTCATGCAAATTCCAGTAAAAAGCTTCATGCCTCAAGAATTATTTTCAGTAAACAAAAATTAAGAATCATAAACTGTTACCATTTCACCAATGCTTTTCTAAATACTTACTTCCTTTTCTCATGAATATTGCAAAATATTATTTGAACACATGCAACATTACATTGCTTCTGGATACTTGTGGGCTTAGTTCCTTCACGAAATTACACACATCTTTCAAAATACTCAATCCTACAATGTTTACACTGGCAGCTTAATCTGTCACTAATGCAAACTCCAAGTCAAGTGATTTATCTTAAGAGAATAAACAATGAGCATGGAAAGCTGGGAGGTGCTGCTGGCTTTGGGTTCTATACCATTAAATTTGGCATGAAAAGCTCTATTTTTTATGGAGACAAAAGCTCTCAAGTATTATACTGTTACTCAAGGTCTTACAAGAAGATCCTGCAATAAAATATAATGGAACCAGAAATGCATCAGTAGGTGTTAAATACATTTTTCTCTTAAAAAAAAAAATATATATATATATATATACACAGAGAAGGAGCAACAGCAGAAACAATAAAATCCCATTTTCAAAGATTAACTACTTTGGTGAGACACAGGTTTCAGCTGACGACTAGCACCCACAGACCCCACACAGCCAACAGCACCAAGTCAAATCATAGAACAGTCCCACAGAATTAAATTGAAAGAGTATTACAACAGCAAGTTGTAGTGCCAAGTATTCCTAGCTAAAATAAAGATTATGCTGCAGAGTTGGCTTATCTACAATAGAGCCCTGCAGCACCATGGCCATATCAGCAGACAGGCATCAAGAACTACACAAAGCTTCAAGTCAGTCAAGGTCCTCTGGGTCAACTGTAAGGCAAATATTCTAAGCTTGTTTTTCAAAAAAAAACAAAAAAAGCTCCTTATTTTTAAGTTTATACAGGATTCACACCATGAAGATGAAGCTGAACATTCTGGACAACCTGTTCCAGGGCTCAAAACCCACTCTCATAGTGAAGAATTTTCTCTTATGAAATTCACTTGATGCTCTCTGTGCCACTGCTTCTTCCCCTTTTGCTGTGCATGTCTGAAAAAAGCCTGGCCCTCTCTTTAGATTGCAAAAGCCTGGCAGGTTCCTCCTTAGCCTTCTCTTAGAATCATAGAATAGTTAGGGTTGGAAAGGACCTTAAGATCATCTAGTTCCAACCCCCCTGCCATGGGCAGGGACACTTCACATTAAACCATTTCACCCAAGGCTTCGTCCAACCCGGCCTTGAACACTGCCAGGGATGGAGCATTCACAACCTCCCTGGGCAACCCATTCCAGTGACTCACCACCCTAACAGGAAAGAATTTCTTCCTTATATCCAATCTAAACTTCCCCTGTTTAAGTTTTAACCCGTTACCCCTTGTCCTGTCACTTCTCCATGCTAAACAGCACACCAGTGCAGTCAGTCACACAAGTAGACAGGTCCCCCTTCGTGCCACCTTCCAGCACTGATGGACACCTTGTCCCAGGTGCAACATACTGCATTCCTCTTGATTGTTGTGCTGCTTCTTGTCATGAGGCTTCTGTTCTTCAACTCCTCCAGGGTTTATTAGTTGCCAGAAAAGGACTGTCTTTAACAACATATATTATCCTCAGACAGTATTTTTACTGATCGCTAAAGAGCTACCAATTTAGTGTGAATTTCAAAGTTTAACATATATATGAAAAGCTGAATATTAAAACTGGTACATCTAAAATAGAACAAAAAGTTATTTTTAATTATATTGCATATAAGTATATATGCGTATCATATAATATAGTCTCACACATGGAAGAATACTCCTGAGACTTCAAATGAGCAAAATGTATAAAGGCCTGGTAGGCTGCCAAGTCCATCTAAAGCATTAAAAGTTGGCATGCTTACATACATGCCATAATGCAACTGCTGCTCACTCAGGAGATACAGAGTTAAAGTTACTCCTTAAAGGCTGCAACCTATTGACAAAATAAAAACTGACCTCAGAAGTCAAGAGAATTTACATGATGTTTACAGATGTGCCAGAGTTCTGTCGACAAGATATTAAAGATTTTCTCCAAAATATGCACTTTAAAAAAAATTAAAAAAAAAAAAAAAAATCACATATTCTTTATATTATATTTAAAATTTGCTTTCTTGAGCCATAACCAGGCTACACATTCTAGTAATACCATCTATGGAAACAAAAAGCAACAAGCCAAATATTTGAGGTTTTTTTTTTAATTAAGCTGGTACAAAACCAAGTAGCAAAATATGGCTTCTCCTTCTCCCTGTCCCTCTACCACATCTGGTTGGAAACTCAGTCTAAACCCAAATAGATAAAGTGGGTTTACCATTTTCTCTTCCTTCATTAATTTTAGATATTACCCACACATTGCAAGGCTCTTAAAAGCCTAAACTATAGTTTCCTGGCCTTCTTTGAAACTGAGATTCTGTTTCTATTTAAAAGATATCTGACCTTTTAGGCTGTTGATCAAATGCAAATCCCACTAAGTTAAATGGGAGCTGAAGATAGACAGTAACGTACGTCAGGATTTCTTCATTTAGTAAGACTGCTAAATCTGTTCTTAGTCTAACTTTAGACACTTCAGTTTTGGTCCAACACACTTGATCAGCATCTGTTAGGAGCCTGGTATAAATTAATCTGAATTTCCCCAGAGGACTGCCACACTTCCCAGTGCCTGCACCCAGACTTGGTATTTTCCTGGAATCCCACAAACAGTCTGAAACAACCTGAGATTCAGCACTAAGATCCATTTCAGACTGTATCTGCCTGCTGTTGCAATATGCATATTTTAGACCAGCAAAGAGGTAATCTTCTTTAATTAATTAATTTAACCTCCTGCATGGATTCTTCAGATATACAGGAATAAAGAATTAAATACCCTCCTGAAATTCAACAGCCAAACTCTCAAACATGGCAACAGCACGGCCTCTGAATAAGACACATTTAATAATCCAGGAAACAAAAAAGATATGAGAAAAAAAAAATCATTACAGTAGTTGAGGACAAACACACCTCTACCACCACAAGTATCATTTTAAATTGGTTCCAGGAGTAGGAAAGAGGATGATCCCTTCAAGACAGCACCAGAAAGCCGAGTTGTTTTAAAACATACTTTGAAACCACTATCATTCTACCTATGCATTT